CCCCTACCCCCCCCTTTTTCACTGCTGAACTCAAGCGCTAACAATTGCTTGGAATATCCTCCATTTTGCTTTTCAGTTTAGCCCTTCACTTTTCCAAAGTAATAAGTTGACTTGCATCGTACAAACATCAATTTAAACAAATCAATTCAACAGGGCAGCATAAACAGTCAAAAACACTACTCACCAGCCCATGGCCTCACGTTTGTCTTTTTCATTGTTGTCTATTTTCTCTCCTTGTCCGCTGCTTGTTGTCTCCCCTCGTCCGCTGCTTGTTGTCTCTCCTAGTCTGCTCCTTGTTGTCTCTCCTAGTCGGCTTTTTGTTTCCATTCCTTGTCCACTGTTTGCTTTCTTTTTGTGTCCGTTGTTTGTACTGGCTCCTTCCTTCTCACAAGCAATGCAATATCCCATGGACTTTCCGGCTACTCAGCCAGGGGTTTCCTCATTGTCCTTAAACACCAAGCAATGGTTACAAACAGAGTGGCCACATTTTATCCAGGAATATTTTGTAGTGGCAAAACATGAATAACTCATGTCCTTGTCTGGAACGAGCGAGAACTTGTTTCCCTCAACATTGTAAAGAGAAGAGTACAGTACTGGCTTTCTAATGGTATTCCTGACACAGAGGATTTTGGAGAAAGACTGAAAAGAATGCCATAGTCCTCAGGTACAGTTTTTGTTGCTTGTTTTTCCTTTTAAGTAGTACAACCAAAATGAGTGTAAATTTATCTTTGATTTGTTTACACCAGTTAGCATCAGGATGTGTAGCACAATTAGAAATAATTAATCAAAACCTAGCAGTGAGTCCAATCCAGCACCTGTGGATAATTTTACTTTGTTGGATTAAATGTCAAACCTTAAATAAAAAGCAGGTCTCTTAACTGTTTTTCTTGCAGTCATTTTTGAATGCCAAACCCCATCCCCTGATATACAGTTTACTGCTATGATCATACTAATCCGTTTGATTACCTTCATGGTGCCAAACAAATAATCTGTTCATTTGGCACTTGTTTTCTTAGGTTTTCCATTCTAAAGTTTCATCTTTATCTTTTTTTCAGGATACAAAGCCAGTAGAATGACAAACGATGTAACAAGATAGGATTATGGAAAGGTGAAGCTTTTGTCTTTTCTTGCATGTTGACAATAATAATGAGTTATGTAGTTTTGTTTTTCTTTTTGTTTAGTCAGGAGTATGATGTAATGTTGCTACCTTGCTTGACTTACTTTGGAAGCAAATATGTATAAGTATTTTGAGATTGAGCCTAGTACAGTGTAGCTGTAAAATGTTAGTAAAAATCACATCTTTGCATTATTTTGTTGAACAGCTGAGGAGTACCAAAAACTAGCATTTTCTGCATCAGAATTTGTATTGGAAAGATGTCTCCCTGGAGAAGAATTGCCAAGCTCATTTTTTCAATTGTTTAAGAAATGGACTACTGAAACAGTTCCACATCTGAAAGCCCTCAGCTGGAGACACTGTATCCTTGTAGAAGAAAGATATGGTCCCTCAGAACGTGTCATTATCCTACACAGTCTCACTTGTCTACAGGAAGACATATGAAGGTTTTCATCACCTGATAACTTTTGGTGCTTCCAGTTAAAGAAGGCAGTTGAAAGGTAACATAGAGTTTTAACATTTGCGTCAGTAAATTGGCAAAGATAAATGGGACCTTAACTATAAAAGGACATACCCAAATACATACACATACATAGAGTTTAATTGTTTATACTTGAATTTTGAGAGCAGCATTTCTGGCAATTTTTTCAAGCAAACTAAGGTTAAAATGAAAGGAAGGAATTAGTAAAAAAAGAAGTGTAAACATAGCATGCAGATAAATTTATGTATGATCATTATAGGACGAAATTAGCTTCCAGAAGGACTTGACGTGCATAGTAGTGCAGTAGTGATCAGGAAGTCTGTTCCAGAATTTGACTGCTAAGGACCTAGAACACAGTCGAAATGTCTAAAACATAGAAAACCTGAAATAAATAATACAACATCACATCCTTGTGTGCTACTCTATTATCTTGTAAGGTATGTGAAACTACAAGTAACCAGAAAGGAGTAGAAAAAAGAACTTTTGCATGCAAGGAGTGTCAGAGAGAGTTTCCGCAGGGTAACAAAGGATTAAGAACTGCAACAACAGGAAAGTCACAAAAATACAGCAGACAAGAGGTACTATTTATTAGTGCCCTAAAATAACTGGTTCCTTTTGTCTGTGTGTGAAGAGTACTCATGGCCCAAAGAATTAGGTTACATGACTTGTACAATTTAGTTACCTGGCATGTCTCATCCCAAAAATTGTTGATGCTACTATCTGCTAATTTAATGCAGATGAGTTATTCAGGGTTTTTTTCACTTGAATGTCAAGAGACTGCCAAGATTTTGTTTTACTGCAGAAAATGTACATTGTATAAATTAATTCTTTTGAAAGAACTTTGTAGAAATCTGCAGAATATTGTTTACAGACAAAAACAACTGCTTTGCAAAATCATGCACATGCATTTTCAATACCTTCCGATACTCTGCATGTCAGTGTTGACAAGTTTGTAGTTCTGCAATTCTTTTTTTACATTTTTCTTTATTTAGCATACATGTATTTCTGCCTCACATGCTGGTAACGTTTATTTCATATGAATAACATGTGGTTCAGAAGACAGATAAAACTCTTAACTAGCCAGTTTTAGTTGATGGTCATGATCTTTTCAAATCCTTTGAGATTTCTTAACCAGATACTTTTTTTAATTTTAGATGGTGGCCTCATCTCTAGAATCTGCAAAGGACCTTATTAAAGAATGTGCATGTGGCAGGAATGCAGCTCGAGCTAACAATGGAATACTCATTGGAAGTGGCAAAATTGAACAGTTGCAAAGGGATGAGGGAGGAGCAATTCTTGCATATAACAAGGACATTCTAACTCCTGAGGTTGCTTATTCAGTCCATAGTGCCTATCTACCATTACACAATAAAGGTGCAGGAGGATTCTTCGTAGCACTGGAGATGGCATATAGCCTTGCAGGGAAACCAAGAAATTTGCCTCAAAATCATAAAATTCTACTTTGTGAAACATGAGAATCCTTTCACCCCATTTGCTATTTTTGATACCTCTCAGTATATCTTGGATGATGATGGCTATCCATTGAGACATCACCTCAATGATACTATCTATGTCAAATCTTTTCAGACATGCACTTGTATTGGCTTAAATCACATTGTAAAGCCAGTCATGTTGTGGGTGGAGCATGATGGAAAATGTGCAGTTGGGGATCATTCCAGAGCAACCAGCCCTCTTCCCAAGGTTATTGTCCCTGTTTTTCCCCAACCTGGTGACATGGTTAGTGTGAAAGGAGACCAAGTTGAAATATGGCATGCAGAGGTTTGACAGGTTGATTTTGAACTAAAGGGAGTAAAACGATATTTCTTTCTTAACCCTTTCACCACCAAGTATTCCAGATGGAAAGTGCCCTGGGCACTGGCACCTTTTGTGATTATTCCTTGAAATGCGCAAGTTTGAAAAAAGTGCATTTTTCACATAGAAGAATGCATTTTTGTATAAAGCACACCATATTTCAATTTATTCATCAGAAATATTTCTTTCATTTAAGGTAAGTTATATGTCTATAGATACAACACTGACTGAATTACCACATTCTTAATTTAGTCAATATGAAAAACCACAGACTAATGGTATTGCTCTTCTAGGTTTGGGAGAGAGATGCACTTAACTGGTGGTATTTCTGCCTTTGAAGTGAGGCAGAACATGTCTCTTTCAAATACAAGTGTCCTTGCCAAAAACAATCTAAATAAAGTCAATATAATTTGAACAGTTTTCAACCGGTACATGTACCTGTGATGCATTATAATTATGCCTTATCTGAAGTATGATAGGAAATGTCTTTGATGATCAATCCTTGCTCTATTTTATCCACAGCAAAAGAAATGCAATAAAAACGATTTTTTTTACCACAGTATTGTTCAGTTTTTGTCTATCTGCAGTATTTGTTCTGTAAGTCTAAAGCCAGTATTGCAACCTTGAATGATAATCAAAAAAACAGTTAGAGCCCTCCCTTCCAATGCAAAGATAAACATTTCACTTCATGCACTTGAAGGTGTTCTTCTTGTCTTTGAATGGACAGTCCTTCTTCCTAACTCCTCTGTTAATCCTCGTAAATTCCTGCTGCTTCTTCAAGCAAACAGCACACCGGTGATCGTTGCCTTCACCACGACAAACAATATGCTCACCTACACCATGCATTCTTTCTGGGTACTCATTCGAGCTTCGCCTCCTTTCATGGCTGTTCTCATGGGTTGTGGGAAAATCTCCAATTAACTGAATGCACAGTTCCTGTTTGAAGCTAAGAAGATCTCTCTTTCTGTGGCCATGACCTTGATGTGCCCGGTAATGGGATTCAATGACGTAGGCACTGAAGACACACATTTGAAGGAGATTCACAAACATTCTCATTTACCACCTCATTTGCTTTTTAGACTTGTTCACAGAAGTCATTTGATCATGTAAGTCCACTCCCCCCATGAACTTGTTGTAGTCTTTGATGAGGTGTGGGCAAGATATGGTCACCTGTCTCCACTGTCCTCTTTCTTTTACCCTCCTAGTGACAGTAGCATCATCACCCTCTTCATCATCACCATCCTCATTGTCACGAACTCTGGGAGCTGGTCTGGGTACTGGAGAAGAATGTATGGTGCTCAGAGCAAAGATCTCCTTTCTGTCCTTCCACTTCAATGCCAACATAGAGCCATTCCAACTAAGCCATGCAATATCACCCCTCTGTCTTGTTTGCACTGCTTTCAACTCATTCATAGGAAAGCCTTTGCAATTCCTCACAGTTCCACAACCGTACAGAGTAATGTTTTTCATTGCAAGAAAAAGAATGGGACTGGTATAAAAGTTGTCCATATATACACGATGATGTGTGTTCTCTAAACCTTGCAAAAGGTTCAAAACAGTTTTACCTGTCTTTCCAAGGTTTCCAGCATTCCTTTCATCACTGCCAACATAAACATCAAACTTCTTACAATAACCATTGGTACTGTCACACAACATAAACAATTTGATGCCATACTTCACTGGCTTATCAGGCATGCGGACCTTTATTTTCAATCGTCCCTTGAAAGGCACCATTCCTTCATCTACTGAAACACTTTCATGGCAGTTGTAGAGGTCAAAAATTTTTTGAGTTATTGTTCTGGAGATATTTCAGATTTTGTTGAGTACATCTCTTGCTTCATCTTCTGTTTTCTCATGATCAGGATCCACAAAGGAAATATACTTCTTCAAATCAAATAGCGTTTACGCGAGGAAAATATATTTCTTATACCAGGTGTATGAAAGACAGAAGTATTCCCACCTGAGAGAAAGTAGCACTTATCCCTCAGCACAACAAGCAGATCATTTGAGATGATGATCATTGCAAGAAGTGCCTTGATCTCTGCTGTTGTTGTTCGTTTCCAGTCAACGGCCCGTTTAGCAACAGCGTTCTTGTTCGTAAATCCAGTGATCTCTTCAATTTACCCATTGTCCAAAAAAAGCTGAAAATATCCTAGTGCTGATTCCTGACATGGAGCGTTCTCTTTTGGGCCACACTGTAACGAATAGTCCTCAATGTTCACATCAAATTCTGTGTGTGTCCAGTTCATATTTTCTGGTAATCAGATCGGAAAACCTTCGAATTCTCCTTCATCCTCTTCATCTTTGGCGTTGAAAATTGCTTGCAGCAAATCTTCATCCTCAGAAAATTCGTCTTCACTCGATTTATCGTCCTCGCTCAAAGACATTTAAAAATGGCGACGTGTAACGTTCAAAAAAATTCACGGTAACTCAAAATTTTCAGGTGAAACCACCATGTTTTTTCTTGCCAGGAGTTTGAGAAATTTGTCTGGGAACCCAACTGTAATAGGAAGACCCCTCTCCAACAAAATCTGCCTCGCTATGATGCCGAGTTGTCCGCCATGTTTTTTTCGCTGGATTTCTGGCGCGTAGTGTTTGGGACACTTTTTCCTTGAGCCGGAAAACCGGCGCGTGGTGGCAAAAGGGTTAAGCATTCACACTGTGAGAGAAATCACTTGTGGGTTAGGGAATTAAGTGCACGGCCTATGGACAGTGTAAGCTACACGAGTGTTATTGATATTTTGGCATGGGTTGCACTTTAGACTTTTTGTTTCTGTTGCGTTATAAGTTGTCATGTAAATATGTCGGGACATTTACGCCACGGGGGTCAAGGGGTCGCACGTATGCGACATAAGCGATATACGATACCAGTCTGTTAATTATTTAAATTTTCACTCGCGAAAAAAGCGCCAAACAATTTTGTTAGCTATGAGGCTGGTGCTTGTTTTGTTGGCGACTTTTCTCCAATCTCTTTTTAATTGCCTTAATCTACAAAACCTTATTGGTTTGTATGCTTTAAACAACATTCGCCGACAGCAAATGTTGGCTATGTTGCTGTATACCAACACCAGCCGAGGCAGAGACGAAGACGAAATTGACAATTGAGATATTGGTGTTTACTGCGGCCACAACAATCATGGTTCAAGATCCATTATAATGATCACAGGGTTCCTGATGATTACTTTAAGCAGCAACTCCGGGTTTGAAGAGCAACTTTCAAATAGCTTTTAAACATGGTAAATCCACATGTTGCGAGACAAGATACATCTATGTGAAACTATTCCACTGGAAAAGATTTTGGCGATTGGTTTATACAGACTAGCATGTGGAAATTCGTATGTGTCGATTGCTCCCGTTTTTAACGTTGGGAAGTCAACCATCATTGAAGCGGTACAAGATGTTGTGAACGTTTTATATGATCGGCAAAATCAATACATCAAGTTCCCTGCTACAATTGCAGAGACGACTGAGTGCATTGCAACTTTTCAGAGAACAAGATCTGAGTTACCCAACGTTGTTGGTACTATAGACGGCACACATATCATCGCGCCAAGGGTAGATGCAGTGGACTACTTTAATCGCTACCAGCAGCATGACATGATTGTTCAAGGAGTTGTAAATGGTACGGGAAAATTCATTGATGCAGTTGCAGGATTCCCTGGGAGTGCTCATGATGCTAGGGTTTTGAGAAACAGTAACATTTATCAAGAGGCTGAAAATGGAAACATTTTACAGGCCCCATTAGTGAATATTGATGGGAATGACAGCTCCTTGCCTAGTTGGAGACAGGGCTTATCCTCTTGCACCTTGGCTTATTAAGCCATTTCCACAAGGAACAAATGATCCCGACGAAAAAACCTTCAACAAGGAGCTTAGCAGAGCAAGAGTTGTAGTAGAGTGAGCATTTGGAATTTTCAAGGGACGCTAGAGAGTTCTACAGAAACGCCTAGACAGCTCCCTGAATTTCGCTATCAAGACCACTATTGCATGCATTGTCCTTCATAACTTTTGCATAGAGGCTAATGATGACTGGGATGATGACGACGACGATGGCTCATCTGACAATGATGGAAACAATAATTTAGTTTTTGGAGATGCTGATGAAATACGGGGCGTACTAAAGGACTTTGTTTGCGGCAACATGTAGATGATTTTAAAATATTTTTTTGTACACCATCTAATATATTATAATCAGCAATGTTGAAAAACCATTTTTAAAACAACCTTCGCTCTTAATTGAGATCTTTTGATTGTTTTATATTACAAAAATGTGACATTCTATGTTTTACAGCCAACAAATGGGCATAACTATTTTTTTTCATCTAAATCAGTCCATTTTCTTAAATCGTTTTTTGGAATCATGACTTTCTTTATCTGGATAATTAGCGAAACTGATTTTTTTAAAAACACCACATTACCTATCAAACATTAATGTTTCAGTTGTGGCCTACAAAATACTGCAAGAATTAAAGTTACCATTTTTTTGTTAGTTGATCCAGTTGAAAAAACTTGAAAGAAATCAGAAATATCACGAAGAAGGCCTGATCAATGCATTAAATCACATCAAACTGTAACAAAACTATTGTCCAAGTGTTCATTACTTTGTTAGTTCATTCTTTCTGGGGATTCTTACTATCCATGTACCTATTGAAGGAGCCAAGAAGTTGAGTCATGAGCTGCAACTGCTGGGCTTGTGAATCTTGCATTCGTTCCACAACCCTAGCCATCTGGTCCCCCTCTGTGGTAAGTTTTTTTATGGCTTCGCCAATAGAGGTGTCTTCTTCGCTGTTGCTGTCCACGCAGGCAGGACGTTTCTGAGTCTTCTTTCTTTCTCTTTGTCTGACTACAGATTTAGGTGAGCTAGAACTGGATGCCACTTCAGCAGTGCTTGTTGTTGGCAAGCTTCCACTATTTTGCCAAGTTGTTGGTTGCTGTATCCCAGCCTGTTCTACGTTGCTGCATGTGATAATATCATGGCAGCCTAGAACAGCATCGATTTCGTCGTATTGTGGACTTTTTCAAAGATTTTCTCCGCTTTGCTGTTGGTTCCAGTCCTTTTTGTCTTTTTACTGATTTTTAAGATGCTTTACTTTGGGCTGGCACTGTTCTACGGTTTTCTGAAGCCCTTGTTTTTCATTTTGCACTCTCGTGATATGCTTCCATGCTTTCCGGCTGTCCTTGCTTTCAATTTTTTCGATGTTATCTGCCCAAAGCTGCAATAGTACCCTTTCATCATTGAAGTTCCACTGTTCTCTTTGGGCCGTGGACTTCTTGGAGCTTGCCCAGCTTGCTGAGCTTGTCTCTCCTAAGGAGGCTTCTTGTGGAACAGGAGTTTGTGTTCGAGGCTGCTCTGTTGGCAAAAAGGACGAAGCTGCAGAAGCTGGTTGTGACGGCTGTGTGTTTTGGTGAAAAGAAATCTGTGGACCATTTCCACTGTAATAAGGGAACAAGGGATCCCCATACTGAGACTACTGAAAAGCTTGTGAGAATTCGTACAGATTGAAGTTGGCCATGTTGAAGAATTTTAAAAGCGCTTTTGAATTTTAACCCAGGAGCTGTGCACACAAGCCGTCTTTGCAGTATTGCAAAAATCCAATTTATTTCAGTATTTCAGATTTGATTGGCGTTGCGACAAGAAAAATAAAAAATTTTTTTTAAGGCCATTAGGCAGGATATGACCTGCTTCAAGGCAGGACATAAGCCTCTTTGATCTTAAGGTGTCACAGCCATAGTTATGTCTGGTAACGACATTAGGGTCGCACATGTCGCGAGCATGCGATGACAGAATTTATGTCCAATGTAAACATTGAACCCGTAAGTGCAACCCCTCCCTTTGCCAAGTATATGGCATGGTCCACACTGGCAAGAACAAATCTAACAGTGAAATGCCTTATCATACCTGTAAGTTTTTGGTAAGCAGTAAAAGAATCCCAGATTGTTGATTCCCGCTGAAGATGTGCAATCCTGGTAGGAGTTAAATAATTAATTTATATATTATTAAGTATGATAATATACTGATATATTGATCTAAAACAGAGAAAAGATGGGTGTATTTGGAAAGTAAAGGTTTCCTTGTAGAAATGCAGTTTTGCATGTAAGGAAATTTAGGATTTTTAATTGTATCAAGTTAAATACATGTGTAAATTTACTGTTTTTTGATGAACAAAAACACATACTTGGAAAATAAACATTTCTCTGTGAAATTGCAATTTTCTAAGTGAAGACTGGAAAGTAAAATTTCCTTGTATGTTTCATTATGGAAAACTAAATTTGAGTGTTTTATCCAACAATTTTCCATACCATAACCAAGCATTGAAACAGAGTGGGTGTGGATTTATATTTCACATGCCAAATACACCTGTGGAAATTTTGTACTTGCTTTTTGATCAACAAAAATACATATTTAGAAAACATTCTCTGTGGAAATATAATTTTGCAATGAAGATTTGAAAAAGGAACTTGCATGTTTGTTTTTAATATGGAAAACTTTTGGAATGATTGGTTACTCCACGACCAATAAAATGACTGCAAAAGTGGTCAGGAGAAACTCAGAGCTTTCACTTTAGTGTGAAGAATTGATTTGAACACGCTGTTGTGTAGCAAAGCACATCTGCGAAATTTTGAACATTTTTTTCTTTTAAATAGGTTTCTTCACCTCAGCTTGAATGAAAATTTGTTGTTATTGAACTTCCTTTCATATTTCTTTCATTTGGTACCCAGTTTTGGTGAATTGTAGGTTTTAAAAGTGAATGTTATTTTTGTACGCTGGATTTCTGCATATTCAATTTACGGCAACCTCTGCAGTTTGTTTGATTAGTTTAGTCGCTTCGTTCAAATATATTTTTTGCAGTCTTATTCAGCTACTACAGAACTGCCAAGAAAAGAACTAAGTGGCACTAATTTAGCACAGTTGAAATACAGTTGATCTCAAAACAATTAGCTTGTTTTTGTCGTCTTTTTGACTTTTTTGATAATCATTTCGTACAATTACAACACTTATTACATCACTTATTGTAAGCCTATTTTTACAATAAAATAAGACAAACCTTTCTGTACAATCATATTTATATTACAATTATATTAAATCTAAAGAATAGCAGAGGGAGGAGCTTTTACAAATATTAAATAATTTTTTCAAGTTTATACTTATATATAACTTGTCGGAAAGTAATAGAAATGGTGAGTTATTCTGGAGCTTTTTCTTATAAATATAATACTGCAGAAGGAGGAGGGTGTAGTTCAGTTTTTTTTTTT